GCAGTCGGAGGCAGGATGTGGGTTGGGGTCAGATGGGGGGGGGGAGACAGGCACGTGGGGCTTGTACTTACCGCACGGTTCCCTACCAGGTCTTCAGCGACACTTTGGCGGCGGGGGGTGGGGTGGGGGTGTCTTCACTTGCTCCGGGTGAAGTACCTGCTGCTGAAAACCTGGAGCGACTGAAGACCCCTCCCCCGCCGCCGAAGTGCCGCCGAGGACCCGGTAGGGAACCGGTTCTTAGGATTTCGGGAGCTCATCACTGCTCATACATGCATTGAGGCACAGCCCCGTGCTGGCAGGATGCAAAGCAGTACTACCCTGGTCCCCACAGGGATTTCAGAGAGACAAAATTCATCCTGGAGCTCTGCAGTACACAGAGGAATGTGCCTGTACTACCTCCTTTCAATGCAAGGCTATATGTATAGAGAGCAGGGCCTTCCAGCCTCTTTCCACTCTTCCCCATCCCATTTGGCTGTCTTGTACCTCAGGCAATTCATGGACAGTCCCAGTGTTCCAGGGTACACAGAGATGACAACAGTTAGCTGCAACACAAGGGTATCTTCTTGTGCCCTCCCTGCCTTTGCACATCCAAAGAGCACAACATAGCCCTGAGAAAGGGCTTTAGAACGTGGCCCTATAGTGCTTGTTTCAATATATTGTAACATTGGATAATGATAATATTAGTTTTCATTTTAAAATGTCAGATTTTTAAGACTCAGAAACAAAACACAGAAGCAGAGAACTTAGGGGTGGAAAGAGCTATTAGCTCATCTAGTCCATGTCACTGACAAAGCAAAATTGTTTCTTGCAGTATATACACAATGCTTGATGCAGTCCAGTTTTAACAGACCAAGTAATGCAGGTTCTTACCAATTCCCTTGAGAAACTACTCCACAATCTAATTAACTTCATTGTTAGAAAAAGGTTTCTGGTATTCAGCTCAAATTCTCTTTTTCAAACAATCATTCTTTATTATACCCCCTTGAACCACCACAAACAATTCTTCTCCTTCACTGGAATTTGCAACATTCAAATGTCTGTACTTTACTGTAACATTCAGCCTTGTCACTTTTTAATCAATCTATGCATTATTTCTTTTAAAGTGTAGTGCTGCTTTGAAAAATGATTATGTAAACATGGCATGTTTTGAATGCAACAGATCTGCTCCTTGTGTGTACTCAGAGTTACACGTACATACCTCAAGGACTGGACAAAAATAACTTTGTATTCTTTTCACCCCTACAGAGCTAATACAACTAAGAAAGAGGGAGCTGGATTCTATTCTGTCTGAGGCAGCAACAGAATTATTAACTAAGGGCCAAATTCATCCCAGTTGATCAGACAGTACTGGGACAATAGACAAGACAACAGTTTATTATATAATTTAAATTTCCTAAAATGTGTGATTACAGTTAGTTATCCATATGTATTATAAGATTATTTTATCAAATTGACATTATCAAGCATTTCTAACAGATATAGAATTTTCAGAGACCTTACCAAACATGATGTAATAATTAGACTCTCCATGCATATCCTCTTGGTTAAGTTTTGCAGGAATCTGTTTAATATATCCGCCAGCACAGTCAATCTTCTGTTTATGTTTTACGGTAAATGGAATTACTAAAGTCTGACCCTCATTACTAAAGGGCTCAAATCTTGCATAAAATCTGGCATCTTGACTAGTCTGAAGACCAATAATGAGGAGACACAGTAAGATCAAACATATAAATATAGAAAACCTCTACATAAAGTTACATTTACCCCTTTAGTGTCCTTTCTGGCTCTTAATAATTTACCACTTCCATCACTGCCCTGTATGAGTCAAATTCCCCTCTCACTTACACCAGTTCCATTCCACTGACCTCAATGGGATTACATCAGAATAACTGAGAAGAGGAGGGTGTGGCCATATATCTGTAAGTATTGGTAACTAAAGATACTCCATCTCCAGCCAAGGATGTTGTTATTCAACACAGTAGCTACTGAGCCAGAGAATGATGATGTCAATTCAAGAGGGAAGTTACACTCTAATCTAAAAGTTAGACAAGGAATTTACGTAAAGCCCACAAACTGGCTGAAAGATAAAAGTAACTGAGTAGCAGATATGGGGATAAGGAGGGCAGAGACAAAAAACAAACACCACACAAACCACCAAAAATGTAGTCTTAAAAAGTTTGTGAAGCAATTAGCATGGGAAGATGAGAGAAATGCCACCAGAACACTAAAAACAAAGCAAAGTTTTTACTTAACACACCACTAAAGTTTATGGTCCAGATTCTCTTCTGTGACCAAGGTATACTTGGCGCAGCAAGAGGAGGAGCATCATAGAGCTGGTTTCAGATCCCAGATTTTCTGGCCAGGTCTACTCCAACATTAGTATAGAGATAGTGATAGTCTCCAAGGCACTTCTGCCTCGCCCTTCCCCCCCCACACATCCTTGACACCAGGGCTGCAGAGCTGGTGGCTATACCAGTTCTATGTCTACTAGGGACTCCCCTGTATGATGAAGGAATCCCTGGGGAAACTGGGTGATTTCCTCTCACTCTGCACTGCTCAGACATTGAATCTGGCTCAGTACTCTCTGTGCATTTAGTGGCTCAACATTGCTTGTTATCAAGCTGTGTGTGCACGCTTCATACTATGCAAAATAAACTAGCTGAGTTTATTTGAATGTGCAGTCATTACATTTGTATTTAAGATCACTGAACTGCACATCCTATTCAAATTTCATGTGCTCTGGGAAGTCATATCCCTGAATGCAGTGTGTCCTTCTGAGCACATTCTGTTTGACATAGACAGAAGAGCTGCCAGGCCCCCTGGGCCTATTCAGATGCTAACTGAAAGGTAAAGGTTAAGTGGAATGAAAGTTTTCCCCACACACCCTTTCAGATGACAATGGAAGGGGTCCAGTCGGCTTGGGAGCTTCTCTTCTCTTCCCTTTTCCAGTCATCCATTGCAAATTTTGCTTGCTCTAAAGGGCAAACCGCACTAAGGCCCATGAATCTGAAGCCAGTGTTGCTAGTTCTTGTGATTTTTCTTTTGTAAAGCTCCAACTTTGGGAATCAAGAGATTGCATGAGAATCGGAGCTTTAATTTAAATAAATAAACAAATGCCTACCCCTCATGGTTGTGAAGAAAAGCTTGAAAACATGACCCAAGTGAACCCTAACTGATCGGAAACCAGAAGGCTAACAAAAATAATTCAAAATGTGTTTGTTTGTTTGTCTTTTAAAACACCTCATCGTTTTTAAGATGATGTCATGATTTTTTGGCACCAGACTCATGATTTTTGCATGCTTGTGGCATTAGCAGTACTGGAGCACTCAGAAATAGAGTTGAACATGAAGTTTAATGATTGCACATGGAAAGACACTTACCTAAACAAGGCCGCAATCTGGGTTCATTCTGCAAACTCTCTTGCTTTCTCAAGACTACTTCCTCCATCTCTAGTAAAACAAAGGCTATGTCTATACTACGCACCTTTTAGCGACACAGCTGTGCCGCTACAGCCATGCCGCTAAAAGGCACGCAGTTTAGCCGCTGTTTGTCAGCGGAAGAGAGCTCTCCCGCCTACAAAAAACTTCCACCCCCAACGAGTGATGGTAGCTTTGTCGGCCCTGCGCTTTTTGTCAGCAAAACTTTTGTCTTTCGGGGGAGTGTTTTTTCCCCACATCTGACTGACAAAAGTTTTGTCATTTAGGTTCCAATGTAGACAAAGCCAAAGTCTCTCTCTCTTCCTCTCGCGTGGAACAGAGCAAGAGTAAAACCTTCAAATGGGATGAAAACAAACACAGTTGTTGGATCCTTTCCCTCTTCAGAACAAGGAGAAAGTAAACGTTTTGAAAACCAAAGTTTTCAAAGGTTGAAAACCAAAATCCCCCTAGCACCTACAGTTTTTAGATCCCTTTCTTCTTCGGAGCAGAGAAAAAAGACTTCTCCAGTTCTGAATCAGGCCCATACCTTGCTACTTCAGTCTTATCTAGTCCTTGTGCAAGAATCAGTGACCCTGAAAAGAGACCTCTGTGGGGTCCCAGGAATCAGAGATGGTACTACAGAGGCACCTAAGCCCCTTCTACAAGGAGAGTTTGGATACATGTGCAGACTAGACACATGCACACCAATTCCCAACCCCACCCCAATGCATGATTCACTGGGACAGACTCTGGCCCTGAGTAAGAACTTTAGGATTTGGCCTTAGGCATCAAACAGAAAACATGGAAATGTTCAGGGGCGGATTTTAAGGCCATGTTTAAATGATAGGCTCTACAGCAACACAGCTATTGTGCTGCAGTTCCACCACTGTAGTTCTGTAGCATAGATGCTTCCTACAGCAGCGGAAAGGGTTTTCTATCACTGTAGTTAATCCACTTCTCCAACCAGCGGTCACTAGGTTGACAGAAGAATTCTTCCATTGACCTACCAACATCTATGCTGGAGGTTAGGTGAGCTTAGCCATGGCATTACGAGGTGTGAATTTTTCAAACATGTGAGTAACATAGCTAGGTCAATCTATTTTAAGTGTAGACCAGGCCTAAATTGACACTACTGAAATTTAATTTTAACAGGCACATTTTTATTACTGTGAGCAATGGAGGAAAAAGAATAAAGGAGGCAATCAAAGAATAGGGCTAAATCCCTAGAAATATAATTTTAGACTGTTCAGATCATAAATGCTATATAGTTTACCTTTATCCTTTTCTTCATTTCCATAGAATCTTCCTGCTGTGAACTGAAATTTACCATAATAGATTTATGCTCAGATTCAGTCCATCACTTCTGCCATCCAACTGGAAAAAAGAAACAAAAATTAGATTTTTCCAAATTGTAATAAACAGCTAAATCTTAGCACCACAAACTGTGAATATCAACTGGATAAAATTCAAGTGTTTTTGGAAGCTACTTATATATGTGGGCCAACTTTTAAAAAAATATTGCAGAATCAGTTAAGATCTGAACAAAGTTAATGTTTTTAACAAATAAAGAAATCACTGGGCAAAAATACAGCACGTGATGCTTGTTGTTAGCTATTAGTGACAATACTCCTTTGAAACCCCCTGCCCCAGCCAAGTGAAAGTGAGTGAGGGTGGGGGAGAGCGAGCCACCAAGGGAGGGAGAATGTAGTGAGTCGGGGGCATGGCCTCAGGGCAGGAGCTGGGCTAGGGTGTTGGTTTTGTGGGATTAGAAAGTTGGCAACCCTAGCCTGGGTCCCTGAGCTCTGCCACCCGGGGCTAAAGCGAAAGCCTGAGCAATTTAGCTATGCGGGAGGCCTTGCGGCATTAGGTTCCCAGGCAATTGCCCTGCTTTCTACCACCTAATGCCGGCCCTGGCTTTTAGATGCAGAAAACCAGTTCTTGTGGCACAGGCGGGCTGTGGAGTTTTTATAGCGTATTGGGGGGCCTCAGAAATAAAAAGGTTGAGAACCCCTGCTGTCGGGGATAATTTTATAGTTTATATGTGTTGTGAGGTGGGACGATGACAGTCCAGGAAAGATTTAAGAAGCGGTATGACATACAACCCCCAGACTCATGTAAGATGAAGGTCAGTTCAAAAACTTATTTTAGTGAGAAAAAAATAACTTTGGTTGGAAAATTCTAAAAACAAGTTCTAATGTAGAAAAAGTAACTGAGAACTCTATGTACAATAATACAACTCAAGGAATGCATTGTCCCCTGGTATTTTTGATTAAAGATACAAGTCTCTTGAGAGCAGGTTATCACACAGGCTTACCTTCTTCTAAAAATGCATCCTGTTTATAAGAAAAGGCCTTCAGATAAACTATTTATATATCTTTTTCTTCAGAAGCATATGACTTTTGGAAGACCTGTATTCTTGTTGATAAAGGCCAGTGTGTGGATGATATTTGCCAGCTTAGATCAATTTCATTTATAATATTTTGGACTTCTGTCTAACAAGTACTTTACAACATTAACTAATTAATCCTCACTGCAGTAGTGAGGCAAGTACATTTTGTTGTTCCCTCTTTACAGATGAGTAAACTGATGTATTGAGAGAAGTTAAGGCCCTCCTCCTACTGAAGATCTGGCCTAGAGTGACTTACCTAGTGGGCAGCAGAGCAGAGTACAGTGTCCAGATATTGTTAAGGAATACGTTCATTTTTTACCTGTGTTGTATCATTTTCATCAATGAATACATACAACCTGCTGTGCATGCATTCTAAAATCTATGCTATCAGATTTGAGTTCAGTCCAAATATAAGAACACTGTAGAACGCTCCTATAATTGATATTGTCTAGATTGCATTTTGGTAATAAGTGATCTTTCTGTTTTAATTTTATTCCCTAAATAGTTCAATCCTGCAAATTGTGCAAAAAACTCCCACTGATTTAGGCAACTGCCCAGGCAGGCCCGGTACTATCAGATCCCAACTGTGTAATGTGATGAATGCAGATGAAAGTTTTGCACGAGCACCTTGGCCCTCCTCCAAGTGAAAGGCCTACAGTAGATCTCTGAATTTCTGAATGACAAAGCACTTCAGCAAGCTGAGAAGTGCACTTTGTGAAATGGGTTATTGATTTAATAAAATGTATGTTTACATTTCTTGCATCTGCTAGCTAGTGTGCAATCAAGTCGGACATCTTAAGTCAATCACATACGTCCTTTTAAATGCCATTTTAAAAAAATCTTTAAATCTATGCAAATTTTATAAAGCTAAACTACTTTACAGTGTCCCTTTAAATGTGTTTCCCTTGAGACCTGTAATTAGATTTGGTAAAGACGAGAGCCACTCATGAATGTTTAACTGTGCATCATCATACTCTGCATTTAACTCACACTACAACACCAGACAATTTCTTCCTAGTCCCAAAGGGATCACCAGTGCCTGTAGGTTCATGTTCAGTTATTTGTCTGCCTTTTTACTTGATTATCCTCCTGGACATGGGACTAGCACTGTTAAAAGGGGCTAAATCAGGGGTCGGCAACGTTCGGCACGCGGCTCGCCAGGGTAAGCACCCTAGCGGGCGGGGCCAGTTTATTTACCTGTTGATGCAGCAGGTTCGTCCGATCGCGGCCCCCACTGGCCGCGGTTCGCCGTCCCGGGCCAATGGGGGCAGCGGGAAGTGGCGCAGGCCGAGGGATGTG